CTGCACTTGCTCTTTTACATTCCATCAGCTGCTTACTTCAGATGCACACTGTATCGCTCCAGAATGCTGCAAGTTTAATCATTTACGCAATTCGCCAAACCAAATTTGTGTGCCGCATTTCATAGTTGTAACTACAGTTTTTTTAGCGTGGATGTATTTTTTAACAGAATGTATTTTAAACTATGCAAGCTAATTTTATTATGATTTCAGTAGTTATGTTTTTGACGTATATTTTTTAATAGTGACCATATAAAATATTGATCATGGCATGAAACTTCTGAATACTCTTTAATCCATCTGACCTCTGTCAGCGTCAGTCCTGCTTCTGTTCTTCCATCAATCACAGTCTGTCAGATACTTTCATAATGACATTAAAGCAAACACTTTTTTATAGCTCTTTAATTTTTCCTGTCAATGTATTATAAATGTAAAATAACTGTTTAAAGGAACTATGTTTGTAATTTATACCACTAGTATACTATGGTTAATCTGTTCCTTATTTTTTTTTAATATACTTGTTGTCAAGAAATTTTCCATTTTTATGTTACAAGAAAGACTATTTATTAAGCAATGATATTGTTGCACCTGATTGTTATGAAGCTCTCAGTACTCATATAAATGTGTGCATAATTGCTACTTTAGTTTTCACAGTATGTGATTGTGTAACAAAAATTCATTTTTAATTAGTGCATAGTGGAAATTTTGTTGTTCACTGCCACCTCTTTTGATCAGTACTGAACACTTTGGCTAGCTGCCAATGATATGGCTGCCTGTTTGCCAGTGTCACATCAAGATTTTATTGCTAGCTATCAGCTTAGTATTTTTGTTCCTAATATTTAACAAACTTCTTTAGAAAGAAGTTATAGAACCATAATTAAACTTTATCATATAATCTTAGTTTTTTTCATAAGTGTTATCTGAGCACTTAATTTATTTTAATTGTATATTACAAACATAAGTCTGAAATTGTAAAAGATTGCTTAAATGTTTCAAATATATTTAACACTAGATGAACAGGCATATTTGCTGTATACCAGCTGATGAATGTTGGCAGATTAAAATCATTCATGTGTGAAATTGAATTGGTAATTGCTGCAAAGTGAAGTCATTAATGTGAAGCTAGCTGATATTCATTGGCTTTTCAAATCTGATGTATATGAAAGCTGCTGATAATCACTGTTAGTAATGTCATTTGTTTATGACAATGCTTGATAATTGCTAGAAGAACAAAGTCACTTTTTTAAGATGCCAGCTGAAATGCATATATCGTAGAAGCTGGTAATCTGTTGCATTATGTCTTTGTTTATGCAATGCTGGCAGATAACTACCGGGAGAACAAAGTCCTATTAACTTGATGCAAGCTGATAATCACCGGCTTGCAAAATCATTTATGTATAATAGTGGCCAGTAATTGCTAGGAGTGTAAAGTGACATTTGCAAGATGCTGGCTAATCAAGTCACATTTTTAACAGCAAAGTGTTAGAAAGAAAATTTTTGTATTATTTCTGGTCACCTCCGTTCATCAATGAAAGAGCCACCCAGAAGATGCTGCAGGGAATTAAATCGCTTGACTCAGTTACCATCAAATTTAGAGAACTCTCAAGAAACCAAAGGATGTGCATTTATTTACTTGTCCAGATCTTCCATAACGTTATAGTTTTGTGGCCACTGCAATCTCCCAACCTCACTCCGATGAATTTCTAGTTCTGGTGGTTATCTGAAATCTAATGTGTACACATCAAATCCATAAGATTTGTCAGAATTGAAAGATGCCATAAAATGTGAAGCTACACAGATTCCTTCCATGTTACATTTATTTCTAATCTCTTGCATGCAATGCATTATCGTCAGCAAAGGTGGTCATCTTGAAAACTTGAAATTCCAATAAAGGTTCCCCCCATCTCCTCTCTTCTGTTGTCATTGGTCCTTTACAGGGCTGTTTGCAAATGTTTTATGCCTGCAATTTTTGTCATACATGTATCGCTGCAATGTCATTCATGATTTTTTAATTGGTTGATTCAGTATTTTTCAATTTGCACAGGAAAAAAGTGAGTTCATTCAAAAATTTCAAAATTTTTTCACTGTAATGATAATTGTCATAACTGTATCATCACAGTCTCCAAATAACCAGTATCTGAAATTTCATTTTGATTTGTTGAGTGGATAGGCCATTAGAGATTCATCGGAGAAGTTTTTTTTTATGACCACCCTGAAAATAATTTTCTACATTATATATATCATCTATAATTATTATTTTGCTTCAATACTTTGGAATAGGTGGAATAATTCAGTATTTTCTTTTTCATAAATGTTTCTTCTTATTGTCCAATTATACATTTTATTTCTTTTAAACTATCTTTTTATACAATATGTCAATAATTTACTAGAATAGTAATCAGACAAACTAGAGCCATTTAGTGGCACAAGGATGATAAATTGAACCTGATATCAATATAAAATATATTTCCCTTTCTCCAGTTTTACTAGTAAAATATGTAATGAATATTTTTAACCATTAAAACACTTTAATTAAACTTCTACGAATGGAAATATTTTCATTGCCAGCAAATGTGTTAATAATCTGTAAGTGATTAATATATAATAGTTTATTTATATAACTGTAATTATATAATATCTGTTATTTTCTTGGAATGAACCGAGGGCTGTAGAAAATGAGTGAAAGGCTGCAAGTTTGACTTGCCTGCTCTAAGGGATGCTCTCTATTTAACACTAAAACTATTGATAAATTATGTACATATACACTGGTGTGCAAAAATTAAGGATGAGACGGTTTTTTTCAATATAACTTTGTACAAAAGATTTCCAAATCAACACATTTAATACCGTAAGATCCCCAATACGTAAGGACATGAGTAATGTAAGCAACACTTAATAAAAGAGAAATCAGAGGGATAAAAAAAAGCTTTATTGAAAAAGTAGCATGGAGTGCAATGCGACTGAAGGCCGAAACATCCCTGTGATGGGTGGGTGTCCAGCAAGAAACATCCGGTCTTTAATAGGGGATATGATCTCCCCTGACTGCTAGGCAGGTTTCACAGCATCTGCCCATGCTGAGAATGAGGGTGTCAATGAGTTGTTGAGGCATTGCTGCCCATTCATCTTGCAGCACCAATCGAAGCTCCGGAATGGTTACTTGGGGTAAGGTACGAGCTGCCAAGCGTCTGCCTAGAAAATCCCATACATGCTCGATGGGATTGAGATCGGAGATCGTGCCGGCCAATCCATGCGTTCAATATCCTCGCTCTAAGAGCTGTTTGGCAGCTACTGTGCGATGACATGGTGCATTGTCGTCCATGAAAAGGAACTGCGGACCCATAGTGCCTCTAAAAAGACGCACACATGGAAGAAGAATCTCGTTACAATAACGGGTCCCCTTGACTGAACCTGTGTCAAAGATGTGACTACCAAGCATGATGCCTCCCCAAACGAGAACACCGCCACCTCCATACCTGTCCCTTTCAATGATGTTTGAGAGATGATTGCGGCTTCCCCGCTCTCTCCAGATGAATATGCGATGAGAATTGCTACTCAGACTGAATCTGCTCTCATCTAAAGTACTCGTCCCCATTCATTGTCTCTCCAATTCCGGTGTTCCCGGCACCACAGAGAACGCCTTCTCCAATGGGCAGGCTTTAGAGGTACACACCGTACAGGGCGTCGTGCAAACAGACCACCACCGTGCAGTCTTCTGGCCACGTTAAAACGCGATATTGGTCGTCCAGTCGCCTGTGTCGTGTGTCTAGCGATTTCTCCCGCTGTCTGCCGCCTATTTCTTCTGGCTTGTAAGGCAATATACCGGTCATCTGCGGGTGTGGTTCCTCGTGGACGACCACTACTAAACCCCCGGATAGCTGTTCATGTAGTTTGAAATTGTCTCCTGTAGTCGTGAAACGATGCTGTGAGCAATTCCGAACTCTGCAGCCACACTTGTCACACTGCGGCCTTCCTCCAATTTCCCAGTGATTCAACCTCGGGTAAAAGCATCCAGATGTCGTCTAACAGATTGATTATTCACCATTTCTCGCTGAGGCAGCAACTCGGTGTGATATTAACTGCTCTACGGCAATCTCTTTGCCAGAAATACTGATCTTACACCGACAACATGCTTTATATTACTCAGACACTCCCCCATTAAGTCTACCTGCATATCTGCGCATGTGCTACCGTACATCACCTTACTTAATCTCCTGATTGGTCTTTCTGTCCGCTCTGCCTCTTCGTTCAGCTGATATGCTAATTTTTCGACTTCATCCTTAATTTTTGCACACCAGTGTATCTAACAAAATGGTGGCTGTTTATAACCATTTGGATGGGATGGTTCTAGTGTGAATTCTCTGTCATTCCTCTTCTGATTTCCAAGAAACATATTTTACAAATTGAATCTGATTTATTTTGTCTCCTAATGTTTCAGTTTTCTTGCTGGAAAGAATGAATGGTTTTGGATAAAATTTTGAAGTTTTGAGTAAAGAATGTTATGCTTGGGCAAAGAATACCAAATGGGAAAATTACCAGAAATGGTCATTCTTGAAAAAATCTTCTTTTGCAAGGTCAAGGATTATGTTGAAAATTATGTAAATAAAATAAAAAAATCTTAAATTTATGTACTTAAAACATAGATTTAAAAAAAAAAAAATGCTAGGCGGGAAAAAAGGGAAAGAAATGCAGAAGCACATATGGTACATTAAAATGTTCTTGATGAGTCGGTGAGGCCAAATGATTTAATATTTAACACTAGAACTATCAACAAGTAGTTTGTAAATATTTCAGCCAAGGGGTGTGTCCATCATTTTGATGTATTGACAGTTCTGCTATTAATAAATCTGCTTATGTGTAATCACTGTTCGAGGTGTATTCCAACTTACTTGAAAGTGCGTAGTTAAATAGTTAAACAGTGACAGTGTGACTGCAGGAGAGCAAAGGAGACTAACCAGTTATTTATAGTGTGTAGTAACATCTGTACATTTAAAAATTTTTCTCCTTTTTTAGTGTAACATTCGCAAGTATTCAGAATGTCTACCAGTGTCCGAACTCCACTGCAGACTGTTCATGAATCTGTTACAACAGAAGTTCCAGATCCAGCTGATTTTAAAAAGGTTGTAAAGGTATTTTGATTGTTACTTCAGAATTACTTACAAAATAATAATAATTCTTGTATCAAAAATACTTTTCAATTTAATGAAATATTGCTTTTTTCCCCATTACTTTAGTATTAAAAATTTTCTTGTATTCCAAAGCAGAGAGATGGAGATCGCTTGAGGCGCTTCGAGCCTAACCCTCGAAGTCGTACTTCAGAAGAACCTCACATTGGACGTTACCGTCTCTTGAAAACAATAGGTAAAGGAAACTTTGCCAAAGTAAAGCTAGCTAAACATCTTCCTACAGGAAAAGAGGTAAGTGTTTTATACTAGCAATTAATAATAGATTAGTTTTAGTACTAATCTATTAGTTTGTAGAGACATTAGGATTTTTTTGGAAGCAAGGGAGATGAAAAATGAGCACTCGCCTTTGCCGGGAATCGAACCACAGACCTCTGAAATACCGGCTCAGTGGGCTAACCACTATTAGTGAGCACGCTAGGAAGGTGCGAGAAAAACCGTATATATTCCCCCTTTTAAAGGGCGATTGGCGTTTTCAGGGGACCCAATAGCCAAATCCTGGGTTTGGAGAGTGATCATCCACAACCCTTTTAGTTCGGGCGCCACTGTAGAGACATTAGGTATTTTTGGAAGCAGGCAAGAAGAAAAATTAGCAATGCCTTCGCCGTTAATCTGGATTACCAGCCTAGCGTGCAGAACCACTACACAACGAAGGCACCTGAGGAAGGCGGGAGAAATACCTTATAAGTTTGCTATTTTTAAATTTTTGTATTAATTTAGATTAGTAAGCAAAGTAAAGTGGGCTTAAGTTGAATGCTGTTTTAAAATACAATTTTTATAAAGTATGATTTGAATGTTAAAAAATTTATAACTTCAGGATACAGATCATTGACTTATACTAAGTACGTTGACTCCCTTATGTAATATTAATAAATGAAATAGTTATTTGTTCATTATTAAAAAAAATTAAACAATTCTAATATCAAAAATGCAAATTACAAATTCTGAAATTTTAACTGATGAAACTGGAACATAGTTTTACTTACAAAAATAGTTAAAAAAAAAATATCAGGATGTAGGATCATTGATTTATATTAAGTATGTGGACTCCCATATATGCATATGTAAAGAATATTTATTTGTAAATTATTAAAAGATATTAATTAAACAATTCTAGTATAATGTAAAAAATTTAAGTTACAAGTTTTGAAAATTTTAATTGAGGAAACTGAAACACATTTTTACTTAGATAGTAAAAAAAAAAAAAAGATAAAACAAATTAAATCTACAATTTTAAATAATGCATACAAATTTATTGTACTGTGTTAAATGTGGGCCCACCAGTGGCCGAGCGGTAAAGTATCCGAACACTGGTAGTTCGATCCGAGGTTCGAATCCAGCGAACGGGCTGGCTGCATGGGCGTTTTCGTGGTTTTCCCCATGTGTAACGTGTATGCGAGCCAGTTGCCCTTAGAAAGTCCTCCATAAAGGCATCCCCCCTTTAGGCAGATAGCCCTCGAGGCTTTGCCATAATCACACACACACTGTGATAAATGTGGCTAATTTTTATATTAGCATATTAATATATGGCTAAAATTTTGTTGGAGTAATTGTAATATTTACTGTTTGTGCAATTATCTCGCATCTTTAAGCATCAAAGTTGAAAACTGAAAACAGAGATAGTAAAATATAATTTAAAAAATGAAAAAAAAGTCAACTGAAAACTAATATTTTTTTTATCATTTTACAATGTAAATCAGTGGCACCAGTGATTAGCGCAGGAGCCGCTATTATTTGTAGATACTTATCGAAACGGTTCACTCAGGGCTAGATTGGGCATTAAGCAGTATAAGCACATGCTTAAGCCATCAAGGAAAGGGGATACCGAAAGTTTTTTGGTTTGCCCCTTTTACCATGGTTCAGTAAAGCTAAAACCGAGGGAGAAATAATGGAAAAAAAAAAAAAAAAAAACTCTCATAAGGCTATGTGGAGCTCCAAAAATCCTTTAAGTACTTATGCCATTTAAAGTTCTTAATCGAGCCCTGAGTTCATTAGAATAGTATCAGTCAGTAAATTAAACAGCAAGTTTAACCACAACAATGCTAATTAATCTGTAGAGAATAAAGCAGCTATCTCAGATTGAATAACTTTTTGAGTAGTGTGTGCTGAAATAATGATTTTTTCTTTGAGAATTTTTGATAGACAGAATTTTTTCCACCATTAACTAAAGAAGGTTGCAGAAAATAGGAGTGTTTTCAAACCATGAGTTTCTGAACTTTTCTTTGACAATCAATTTATTTTATTATTATTATAAAATTATTTTATTAATAATATTTTATCATGAATCCTCTAGTTCATATTATGGACCCCCCCCAAAAAAAAAAAACTTACTTAGAAAATGCTACTTAGAAAATGCTGATGTAAATAAATATTCATGTAAGCTTAAGCACAGATAACAAAATTTTCCATTTTAATAAACTTTAGTGTTAATATAAATGCTGTGAAATTTATATTTTTGTATAAATCCAGAAGGTAACTAGTATTTTGTCAATTTCTGTTTGATGAGTAAGAAGTATTAAATGTTGCTAAAGTATGTTTGCTACAAATATCACAGTTAAAAGAAAGCATGTGAATACCAAGTGCAAATTATTACAGAATAAATTTCCACAGCTTAACAAAATCAAATTTTTCGTGTATGTAGATTTCAATCTGCTGGTGTAAGAAAATTAACTGGTTCAATGTTTAATATATATTATATATATATATATTTTCAGATTCAATCAATCACTCTTGGAAATCTTTTTAATTATCCTAAAATTTTTGCATTATTGCAAACTTCAGTGTAGCTGGAAATAATTCTTAGGTTAAAAACTGTATTTTTATATTTATTTTATCTTGGGTCAAAAAATGTTTATCAATACTGAATTTTCTGGAATCAGTATTTTGCCCACATAAACAAAACAAAAACTAATTTTATGTTTCTCCTGGAATCTTAAAATGGAATACCTTTGCTCTTATCTTGTTTTTCCTGTAAATATGGAATATATGATAAAGCACTGTGTGAAATTACAAGGATTTCTCGGAGCACGAAACATAAAAATTGAGGAAACTTTTGTTTTTCCAACACTACATGTTTTCAGTTACACTATGAATTCATACAAGAAGGAGGGAAAAAATACCTTACGTCCCCCCCCATCTAAGCTCTCTCATAACCGGATATTCAAAGATATTACAAAAGATATTCTAAGTTATATATATGAGCAGAAAACCTGAAAAATAGTACATTCCTCTTCAGGATTCAAATTTCGGGTCTCCCAATTGTTAGGTTGTGCTGTCGATTACCCTTTGAAGGTACGTGATAAGGAGGAAGAAAATACCATACAAATTTTCTGAATATTGTGTAAATTATGTGCTTGAAATATGTGTGTTCTAGTTCAAACATTTTTAATTCACGTATGTGAGATTTTTCTGGGTTTTATGATAAATCATGAAACAAAAAATGGCTCTTTATTTGAAGGAAAAATGAGTTAGTTGTATTAAAAAACATTTTTTTTAATAGGTGGCTATAAAAATAATTGACAAGACTCAACTAAATCCATCCAGTCTACAAAAGGTAAGATATTTAGAAATGTAAAATTTTATTTTTCTCTTTTTTATTATAAACGGTGAAAAATTAATATCGCTTTCTTGAGCCAAGCATATTTTATTTCATTTACTAGTGAAATATTTAAATAAGGATCATTGAACTGGTGTATGTAGTTTGCTGCTGCTGAGATTGAATTTTAAATACAAAAATGTTGCTTGTATGGTAACTGATTCTATGGTATTTTAATTTTTAGCCTTTAGTAAAGGAAATTTTTTCTAGCAATAAATGAAATGTGCTGAAATTATGAAACTTATATTAGAAAAATTCCACTCTTCCACCTCTAATGATTTTCAGAATAATTTTTCTTTTTAAATTTTATTTTATTTGGATTGTATATTTTTTAATTATATCTTATTATCTTATTTAATTTTTCTATTAATTTCATTTGATCTGAATTTTATTAAATCAACTGCAGACTGTATGGAATTTTATATGAAGATTCTAACAGTTTTAATCAGTCAATACTTGTATTTAATTTTGTTTACATTAGTATATGGTACAATATTAATTTATTCACACAAATACTGTGTATATTAATTATTAATTTTATTTTAATCATATTTAAAAGTAATTTGATAAATAAACGGGTTCTTTAATTACTAACGATTTTCTCAGTATGAAAGTGTAAAAAAACTAAAAAATGAAGTTAACTAAAGAGCATAAAATTAAGAATATCTACTTAAATTAACATCAAAATTGAATTTCAAATAGTTAAGTAACCTGGATAATAAAGTGAATTAAAGCCAGTATGGAGTTCCTTCGAAACAGCTTCGCCATGCAGTGTGCTCCCGATTTTTAAAATTTCAAGGTTTGCAGCTATGCCATTTGTCTTTCAGCTTGATAAGATGTCCATTAAAAAAGCAAAGATCATAATTTTTTAGATTTGGGTAAGTGATTGTAAGTGAACTCCACTAGCCCATTCAGAATCCCTATCTGGATTGCAACGAGTGTATTTCAGACAGGTTGGGGCTGTAGTCAAAAGACTGTATGTCGAGCAATCAACTTGGAGCTGTTCACACAAGAAAATGGCTCATATATTTATTTGCAAATGTTTAGTATCGATTAGTAGTTTTATCATCCTTTCATTTCTAATTTATTTTTATTTCAATTTTTTAAAGAAATTAAAACTGGTATATGTTAAAAATGAAAAGTATTTTGTTTTTATGATAATTTAGTCCATTTTAAATTCCTGTTCTTTGTTAATTTTCATTTGGGGTTTGAAATTGGCTTTAGCAAATGTGAGATATGGAATAGTGATATATTGACTTTGGCAGATAAGACATTTGGACATAGTAGTAAAATTCCTGTTTTGATATTGAAGCAAATTTAAACTGGTTCTTGGAATGCTTTAATGCAAATAATGGGATTGCGACTTGATAAGAAAAAGAGCAGGCACAAGAAATTTTGTAATAAGCTAAAGTAGAATTTTATTTTAACAAAAATAAAATTACTTTTAATATTTTTATAATTATAGTTATTCCGTGAAGTAAGAATTATGAAAATCCTGGATCATCCAAATATTGGTAAGTTAAACAAGAAAATTTAATAAAATAATGAATTTTTAAAGTTTTAGAAGTAGTTTTTGGAAGCTTCTTGATTACTTTTTTGTAATGATGCAGATTTATTTTTGTATTATTTAGAATGTCTATGGATCATATGATAGAAAATGTGTATTTCTTCATGCTGCCATTTAAATTTGAAGAGTTTACAGTATTTTGATGTTTTCAATCTTTTTAATTGTCGTTTTCCGTGTTAAAAAGTATGCAGCATACTTATGAGAAATTTGAAAAATTTTAATGAAATCAATTAATTTGAAAAGCATATCAGATCAAGCAAATTTAATTTTAAAGTTTTATTTATTATTTTTGTTAGTGTTAAGTTTGAAAATATTGGTTATGGCTGAAATGTATAATGTAGAAGTTTCGTATCAGAAGTTCCATTTCTATGCATTACATAATTCTAATATAAGATTTGAATAATTTTTTTTTACCTTTTAAATTTGCAGTATTGTTGTTTTTCCATGACGTGATGGGAAATTTCTGTGTGCATTTGCTGTAAAAATTGAAATTCCTGTATCTTTAAGTTAAGGTACTCGCATGTTTGCCTCTTTAGATGGGGGGAATTCATTTTGAAAATTGACCAAGGAAAATTGTGGCATATTCTAAAAAAAAAATTCAAAGATAGAATTTCGAAGATTCACGGTGTGTATAATTTTATTGTCTGAAGTTAGTTTTCAGATGATCATTATAAAACTATACATATCATAATAATAGCATTGTCATAATGCACATAAATAGGCTGTGACTTTAATGCAATTATAAGAGTGAAGAAGGAAGAAAATTTCATTTCTTATAGATTTGAATAAGATTAAATCAACTAGTTTGGAAACTTACATATTAACCTAATGATAATGTTTAATAATATGAGTATTTTTTAATGTGATCATTCCACTCTCATAGTTTCACCTGGGAAAACATTTAATAGATTTTAACTCCTTGCAGCATTTAAGATATATGCAGCTGTGAAAAGGTCTAAATTTGGCTATTTTCAAGCAAATGTTTTGCTCTCCTTGAAGCTGTCTGCAGTTTTCAGCGTTGCACTTCTACAGTGTACTTTCTTTGATGCATAATTTAGTTATACTTGAATTAGAATTGACTTTGTAGTATCAGAGTATTGAGACTATGAACTATAGAATGCAACTGATATTTGTTTTCTCTTTTTGTATTTAGCAAAATACGAATGCTTTAAGTAAAGTGTTTTTTTTTTTGGGGGGGGGACCTTTTGTGGATTTTACTATGTGAATTTTCCTTATATGCTGTTTTCACTTTTTTACAGTTAAACTCTTTCAAGTAATTGAAACAGAGAAAACATTGTATCTTGTGATGGAATATGCTAGTGGAGGTATGTGATGTAATAATTGATTATTTTAAAATTTAATAGCTTATGTTTTATTTCTTAACTGTGAACATGTGATAATGTGGTTCAGATGGTGAGTGCATTTTTTAAAATATGCAGCCTAGGAATTTTAATTTCATAAGCCTTCTTAATTATTAATTAATTTAATAATGATTTTTTTAATGTGATAGTCTTCAATATTTCTACTACATGTATTATAAATGGAAAGTTATTCTATTTTTATTCCTGGGAACTCTGAAAGTGATTTGTATAACTTTGAATCATGTTTTTATATCTTCAATCCATTTTATTATTTTTTTACGTATAGTTCTTTCATATTAGGTGAAGTATTTGATTATCTTGTTGCACATGGGAGGATGAAAGAAAAAGAAGCTAGAGCAAAGTTTCGACAAGTAATTTTTAATTTTTTTTTCCTTTCAGGAAACAATATAACTTTATAAATATGTATAAGCTGTGTATGTTTTTATATAATTATTTAAAATACCCTTTTTTAATACATGAAATATGTATTTTTCAGATCGTTTCAGCCGTTCAGTATTGTCATCAAAAAAGGATAATACATAGAGATTTAAAGGTAAGTGTTTATTCCTTTTGAACCACTTATATATATAATTCTTATGGATTTTATTGGAACTATTTTCCGTATTCCGTACTTAGCACTTATTAAATGCGCTAGTTAATAAATTCCTTTGCATAGTGCAACACAGCAGCAAATAACATTGCATTTCTATGCTAAAGCTTTTATTAATACCTGTGTTAAGACTACAAAGCTGCTTGCATGAATTTCAATTACTGATACCCATTCTGCTTATTTATCTCTATGACGTAGAACTTTACTGCTTGTCTAGACTAGGAACATAGCCATTTGACTCTTGAAAGAGTAGAATCGAACAGTCTAATTTGAAAAGTAATCGCTTCATCAACAGTAGAGTGGTTAAGACCATTGAATGTCTGGGGCTATACTCAGGTTTGATCTCAAGCAAACGGGATAGTTGTATGGGTAATTTTGGTGGTTTTCCCCATATATTTGTATCAATGAGGCAAAGTTCTCCACTAAGGCATCCCGTCCTATAGGTACATAGTCTTTTTGTGCTTTGCCATATTTAATAACCAAATAATATTTTCAGCTGATCTGGGAAAAGAGAAAAAACCCTGTGAAGTAATGTATCCTTATTAGCAAAAGACTATACAAGTTGCTAATAGTGTAGAAATAATATGAGGTATGTTCTCACAAAGATTGTTCCATTACCTTGTTACATTCTTTTTAATGTCATACATCACTTAAGTGGGTTTGCTTCATGCATAAAAACGATTAACTACACATGTCCATGCTCACAAAATAAGGGTGTGAGGAAAAATATCTTGAATTCATGTTAATGAAATATTCCCCATGATTACCACACCTCAATGTCAACAAGTAGATTTGAGATGTCAGACAGCATTCTGTTAAAGCAATCTGCCAAAAAATGTTAGAGAATTCTTCAAATGACTTAATATTTATGCTGTGTGTATCCCTTAGAAAACTAATGGATTCTATGCCATGTCTTTTTTCGTAGTTTTATGGTTTAGAGGTGAATCTATTGTGTATTGAACATTGTTTTTTATAACAGTCCGGTATGCTGTATACAGATCTTAAAAGTTTTATTTATGTTGAGCCCTATTAATGGGTTCTTAATTTCAACCTTCCATTCTTTTAATAATTAAATTAACCATCTCGTGTTTATTTCAAGAACTATCACAATTGTGTTATATCTTCATGATGCAAGAAAAAATGAATTATGAAATTGGACATGTGTATATCAAATGTGTATAAATGATTGATATCTTTTTTCTTGGTTTAGGCCGAAAATTTGTTGTTAGATGGTGAAATGAATATAAAAATTGCCGATTTTGGATTTAGTAACGAATTTGTTCCTGGTCAAAAATTAGACACATTTTGTGGTAGTCCGCCTTATGCTGCTCCAGAATTATTTCAAGGTGAGTAAAGGTGATTTCAAGGTGGGAGGTTTCTTCCTAAAACTTTCTATGTGTTAATAACCTTAAAGTTCATTCTAGCAATTCTTTTCATTTATGTACAGGTAAAAAATATGATGGCCCAGAAGTTGATGTCTGGAGTTTAGGTGTAATACTATATACTCTCGTAAGTGGTTCGCTACCATTTGATGGAGCAAATCTTAAGGTAAGTTATTTTTATGTATGATTTTTGTAAATATGAGTAATAAAAGGTGTTATATTCCTTATTTTTCCCAGAATTTAGGTAATATTATGTTAATTTTAAAATATTTCTTGATGAAAAGCATACATTTTTAGAGTGTTCGCATTGTATAGCATTTTTATGATAGGATGAATATTTAAAAATAATGAGAAATAGAATGTAAAATGTACAGTTCCATTAATAAACCAGCATTTTTATTAAAAAGAAGTATATGCTCATATATGTGTATGATACGGAAGATTAAAAATGGATAGGAAGAGCATCTGCAATAATTTTTACTTATGATGAACATTCAGTCAATATGTTTTCCTTTTCTGCCTTAATTAAAGGCACTATGTGGATCCTCTGTATTAGGCGGAAGAGTCGGAAAATAGCCAGAAAAGTATTAAATTAAGTAATTAATCTATAAGAATAAAGATAAATTCACATGCTACAGACTAGAGGTCCTGAATCACAAAATGCATACTTTAAAATTTAACTTTCTCAATACTGAACCAGCAACCGGGGCATTTGTGTCAAGGATACCATAAAAGGGCGGGGCAACTATGATACCATTCCTATTGGCTGCCACACTGCTCACTTGAATGATCAAAGCCAATACAGCCTGAGACAGGTGCCTGTTTTGACAGTAAGAACTGGGTGCGAATTAATTTGTCCTTAGTGCTGCTACTGTGTTAGTATAATAGTAAGCCAGTATATGCAATCCCAGAGGGTTGTAAACTAAAGAAGGATTGTTAGATTCTTAAGTATATTATTTTTAAAAAGTGCATATAGTTTAAATATAATTAACGCACGTGCATATGACTGAAATCTTTTATTATTAACATAAAATTTTATTTTTTATGCATACGATAGCTTCATTAACAACTGTTAGAATCCTATAGTTCATGTCAGTATGCAGTTGATAGAAACTTTTTTTTTAAAAAAATAAGATTGTTTTTAAACACTTTCTGCACATTATACATTGTTAAGAAATACAGATTGCTTGTAAGATATTTGCTTTATTAGGCTGATGAGCTGTACTCTTAAAGGAAAATAGCACAGGCTTTGTAGACTGGCAAAAATTCAGTTTTATCTTTTGATCTTTAAAAGGTAAAACTACATTGGTGGGAATAAAAAATTTTTATGTATTTAAGTAGTGTGAATATTTGTGTCATTGATGTTTGAAAAAATTATTGGAAATCAATATGAGTATTCTAAAGAACTTTGTTTTATCTGCATTAAAATATAATGCTCTTTATTTGAGGCTTTATTGTAATTTTTCTTAATACTCTATTCTACTTCTGTATTATATCAGTGCCAAAAAATGTGAGAATAGAAATATGTATAATGAAGCTTCAACCTGACAAATTTATAACTTTTAAGAGTAATTGTTTTTAATGATATATACAATTTTACTTTCATCACAACTAATTTTTAGAGCTTAAGAAAATAATTTATATAAATTACCTACTTAATAGAGTTAAGTATGCAAAATAATAATAAGTAATAGGTTTAAAACTCATACCTCTACCAAAAATAACAGTATCATTGCTTTGTCAATATGCATAAGTCTTTATTGAACATTAGCTTTCATAATCTAAATATATATTAACTCAACATCTAACTAAAACATCACAAGTTGGTCTTGGATTAATAATAAATGTATGTTTTATGCATTCAGATTTGTGAACAATTGAAGCACTAAAAGAATAAGTTTTCGTAATATATTTTTACTTGCAGGAACTTCGAGAACGTGTTCTACGAGGGAAATATCGTATTCCTTTTTACATGTCAACAGATTGTGAGAATCTCTTAAAAAAATTTTTAGTTTTAAATCCTAGCAAGAGAGCTTCTTTAGAGGTAAATAAAAAGGGAAAAAAAAAAAAAAGAATTTAATATCTTTATTTTATTTTTATTGTTTATGATTTTTTTTTCTTTTGAAGCATTTTTATTATTTATGTATGTTTAAATTTTATAGGCTATAATGAAAGATAAGTGGATGAATATTGGGTATGATGAGGAAGATGAACTCAAACCATATGTAGAACCAGAACCAGATTTTAGTGACACTAGAAGAATGGGTAAGCAAGGTGAATTATTTTTGTGCTATACTGTAGATAGCATTTTTTCTTCTCTTTTCCTTACCCCTTTTTCTTTTCACTCACTAATGCTTCTGCTGCACTTTTTCCTAATTTCAGTAGTTAGGACATTTCAAGTTTCCACCGTTATATATTTTGTTTATGTTTTAAATGTATAGTTTCCATAAAAATTAATCTGGAAGCTATATGGATAAGAGTGCAGGAGAAAATTATATTTCTATGTCATTAGTATGCATTGATAATGATGCTGTTGCGTTTGTATATGCACTTTATTTCTGTTATTGTACATGGAGCTGTTCTAAACATAAATATTTCATTGTTATGATTTTGTATTTCCAGATTTAAAAATCAAACTCTGCATGTAGGGAAATCACTTTATCAAGAGGCTGTTAATGAAGTATTTGTAGAGGAATTCACTTACATATCAATCTTTGTATTTTCTGTACTATTTGGTAGTGTTCACTAGAAATACCAGTTATCTAGATCAGAGCTTCTTTTTTCAGTCACGAACCTTTTTATTGCTGAGATTTTTTTTCTTGACCCCAGGACCCCATATTCGTGAATGAAGTTGTCAATTTTTTCACTTGTACTGTAATATACTATTGCAGTTTTAGGTCATTAACTTTAATTTCTAATTTTAAGATATAGAACAATGTGAAAATTTTAAATGAGTAACAAAGTGACAGCATCACGTGCAAAGCACATAAAATTAACTTTTATATTATAAAAAGAATGCATCGAAACGTTTTCATTTTTCTTTATCTGTATTGTCCTTATCTGTATCTATTTTCAGATAAATTTCAGAAAAATGCTTCGTAATTGTAAAAAAAAATATAAGTTGAAATATTAAAACAGCTAAAAATTTTGGCACCCCCCTGCTGCAGGCCCCGCTACCCCCATGGGGTTAAGATCCACAGTTTAAGAAACTCTGATATAGGTAGATGGTTCATGACAATAAAGTAAATGAGTCAAAGTGGCATGGGATTTTTTTCCCATTGGATATTGTAATGGAACTGATTCTTGTATCAGATTGGGAGATAGTTGTAATCATCAAAATGATATGAATGAGTAGAAAATCATGAATAAAAATTAAATATAACATGTACAAAGATGCAAAAGGAAAAAGAGAGAGAGAAAGTCTCCAATTGTTAAAAATGCTATTAACTACTTGCGCTAAAAAAATGTGCCACGCACGTCGAGATGCTTTTGTCTCAACCGCATGCAAAAATGAAAATAACAACGGTGCACACGTCACCTAACAACAATATTGTCTATTTCTGGAGTTACAGCTCTGGATTGCACTCGCAGACACGGAATGCCGTAAATGAGACACTTTATTGCTTGTTATATTGTAGCGCACGGCACCGCAACCGTGAAGTTTAGTCGTAGTGCAAGTGGTTAAAATGATACCAAAGCTCGAGAAGTACACTGCTAAAAAAAAAAAAAAAATGGGACAGTGCTATATCTCCCGTTCTACTGGGGCGATTCACGAAATTCAAATTGCGTTCTTCATGTCTCAAAAGCGTGACTTTGGAATATTTATTTAAAAATAGAAATTTAAAAAATAAAACACAAAAAATGGGTAAATTTTATTTGGAATGAACCTAAATTTCGAAATGTGAGAAAAAAATCTCAAAAAGTTAATAAAAAAAAGAGATATAATAAATATTTGCCAAATTCAATTAACATTGAGGAGCTAAAATTTTGAGAGCTAATATTAAAAACTACTCGTACGATTTTACAAAACTTGGTATTCTGGCATAAATTGAGTATAGAATCGAAATATTGTAAAAAAATGGTAGTTATTTCAGAAAAAGTCCGATTTTGTGTCAAAATACCTATGTTAGAATAGTGCTATATACGAGGGCCATCCAGGAAGTAGATTACGTTTCCGTCTGTGTCCGATAGGGGCGGGGCTAGCGCGCCATCTTGGGGTCAGAGCGTTGCGCAGCTCAGTCTGCATATAGCGTGCTAGTGAGAGGTCGTTGCTGTGCTCCGTTCAGATTCTGTGACGGTTTGAATGTTTGCGTAATGAAAATCCCGCGAGCTGCGCTCATAATAAGGTTTCTGACTGCCAAAACTGTAAACCGATAGAATCTATCGGCAGCTTCGTGAAGTGTATGGGGGACAACATTATCACTGAAGGTGGAGTGCGTCAGTGGGTCATAAGATTTAAATGGCCGAACCAATGTTCACGACGAAGATCGAAGTGGAGACCCAGCATAGTGACCGCCGAACTTCTCGAAAAGTCGATGCTAAAGTCCGTGAAAATCGAAATTTCACAATAACGGAACTTTCTTTGAGTTTTCCACAAATTTCGCGAAGTTTGTTGCACGAAATCATCAATCTGAGAAATAAATCTTTACCTGTGACTATATTTGAATTACTGAACATAACCAACAAAAATGTGTCACGAATTCAAACTTTAGATTTTTGAGAGAAAATAAAGTATAATTTTGATTTTTCTCCTTTTGCGATATTATTTTTTATATATACTTTCATAAATATTTAGAGTGAAAAGTTTAAAATACTTTTTATTTTATTACAAAAATTTTTCATTTAAAAATATAGGCTTGTCAATTGTTTTCAAATCCATGCATTTGGCTGGCATGCAATTTTAGTTTGAGACCATTGCAGTATGTTACTTGTATTTTTGCTTGGCTTAGTGAAATTGCTTTTGTAATTTATCTAAACCACCAGTCCATAGAGTTGCAAATGTGTATAGCTGAAGTTGGGCATTTTTGAAATAGCCCTAGTTCTGCTTGAGGAATTTACATTTTGGAAATAATTGTGTAATTAAACATATAAATAAGTTGTTAAAAAAATTGACAGGGATCTTAAATCATTTCCATACGTTTAAAATTTCTCCATCAACCTTATAAGTCTGCCTAGCTAATTCTTGAAACTGTCAGGAATCTACCATGGCTTTCTGTGCATTAGGAAATCTAAGATATTTAAAGGAATTTTTCATTTTTTCAGAAATTTTGGTATCTATGGGTTACACTCAAGATGAAATCAATGATTCTCTTAGAAGCAAAAAGTATGACGATATAATGGCTAATTATTTACTTTTGGGCAAAAGAACTACTGAGGTAAAATTTTGTTTATAGATTAATATTCATATCTTTTAAATGACTGTTTATGAATGTGTAAAGTGAAATTTTTGGCATTGAATGATGTTGTTCTGTCTTTGTGTGTGCATGTAAATAAATGAAAAGTAGAACTATTTTAATATTATGTGTCAGTGAAAGATGGAGAAAATAGAAAGGCTGTATTGCCTAAAAATAAAATTTAAAAAAAAAGTATAAATAACATGTCTTAATACAAAGTCTTAATAACAACATGAGTGAGTTTTTAAAATTCAAAGAATGAAATATAAACCATGTGTCTCTTAAAATAACTATTATTTAATAAAGGTTGGTTTTTTAAATTCATTTTTGCTTATTCGAAATTGAGAATATGCTTAAATACCCATCCAAAAACTATTATGTGTAATTATTGTACACCTGTTTCTTTAAAAACTGAAATTAAAAATCGAACATGTGTCCTTAGTAAATACAGTTTGGTTATTTAAAAATAATCCCTTTGTATATAATCAAACTGTATTTGAGCATATTTGTGTGATTAAAAAAAACTGTGTTATTAGATTAGTTTAATCCTGTCTGATCCTGAAATCTCATAGACAGTATAAAAGCTATAAGAAAAACTTTTATGAATGTAAATGGAATAGATATTACCACTTTGTAGTTCATCTGTCTTCAAGAAGGGTTAAATTACACTGACAAAATAGACTTACTTTTATTCTTAAGGTAAAGCTTTCCTAAATTAAATGCTATCACTGTAACTAAGTTTTAAAATAGTGAGATCTTAAAATAAATGATTAAATTATAATTGTATTTTTATTATAAACAGACTTGTTTATCTTTATTGAGCTAGATCTTTTCCCACCTAAACATTATCATTTTAAGTACATTTTAAAACGAATGGAACCTTAAAACAAATGATTAACTTGTTTGTTAATTTCTATTCTTAGTGTACTGTGCTTCCGAGATATGTGAAATACTTAAAATTCTCTTTTTAAAATATAGTAAAATAATTTTGAATTTACTGTGGGGAAAAATGGGATACAAGTAACTATAGTTAATACATATCAAATTTTAAATTGAATATTGAATGTTTTATTTTGGAAAATTTCAAGCTCTTTGTTTGCTTTGAATCTTTTAAAAGCCATCAGTAGACATCCAAGATAAATGATCCCCAGGTTGAAAACTAAAGCATTTAAACTTACAAGGGCTGTAAATTAAATAATGGCAACATAGGTATAAATCAGTTTTTAATGAACTTACAAGTACAATTGCATTACATTCCTTCTATGTAATCATCAGCAAAGCTTATAACCTTTTGCCAAATGTCGCGAAGCCATTGTAGACCAGTGGCAAGGTGTTTAATTGTTGATGTGAGCGACCGAGTGCCCTACTGTGTGGAGTACAGAAGAAACGTCATGAAATCGGTGACCTCGGAGGGGTTCCTTCAACTTCTGAAACAGATAGACACAGGGACTTATGTCGCGTGAGTAGGGAGGGTGTTCCAGGATTTTTTCTGCCACCGTCGCAAATGGAGAGTGACATTGTTTGCGACATGGCAACGAGTCTTGTCATGCAATACGATAGGGAGATTGTTGTGCAATAAACATGGGCGTTTGCGCTGCATAGCCGGACGCAGATGCTGTAGAAATCGGCAATAGTAATTTGCGTTACGTTTGTACTTCAGGTCATCATGTGTAAGAATCACACCGTCCCAGTCGTATCCTAATCAGCATAACCTTCACCCGTGGTTCCTTTCGGATTTCTTGGATGTGCAAACCTTGGTGCCATTCATTTGATTGATGCTTTAATTCAGGCTCATAGGCTCATGTCTCATCAATGGCACGACAATACGCTGCAGAAATGCATCTCCTTCATTGCGGTATCTATTCAAATGGGTGCCAGCCAGTGCATACCGGTGTTGTTTCTGCACTTCGGTTAGTCGATGTGGAATCCAGCAGGAAGCAATTCCTCATGTTGAGAGATTTCTTCATTATGCGCCACACCATTTGATGCCTCAGACCAACCTCTAAGGATAATTCTCGGACAATCCATTGGCGGTCTATGGTAAGGAGACCGCTCAGGATGTCAATCTGCTCTTGAGAAATGGATGGCCGAGCTGTGCATTGCAAATTTGCAGTCTCATTCCGACCCAAACGAAATGCTTGAATCCATCGTACTACTGTCCTATACGGTAAAGCATTTGTGCCACAGGCTTCCACTAATCCTCGATAGCATTCTGTGGCATTTTTGCCACGGGCAACCTCGATTTTAAGCCACAACCACTGATCACCTTCTGAAAACATGCTTTAGAGTGATGGAAATAAAACTCCTCACTTTAACGGCACACAACAACTACCCTTCTAAGCAGATTGACTGTTTTTTGCACTCTACACATCGACAACAGCGCCACCTCACCGCTCCCATATCCTATTTGCGCATGCCCACTCTTCTGCGAGTTTCAAGGTTAAGTTGCCGCTATTTAATTTACAACCCCCTTATTTTGAATGCAAGAATTTCTGTGTGTTAATGTCAAATTCTTTAATTTGCTATTTTATTTTTGAAGGAGAGAGATGCATTAGTTGTATATGATTATATCATATTTTATTTCTGTTGAGATATTTGTAATCGCATTCTTACTGTTTTAAAAGGAAATATAGCTTTCTGTCACGTCCGAAACATTCATTAGCTTTCAGCCAGGTCCGAGTTAATCTGAACTTAAATCTTCACTCTGATGTTTAGTTTGATTGGTTATTATTGTGTCTTGTTTATGATTTGTTAAACCATGATCTGTTGTAAAGTTATATGTATGACCTCTGTAACCGCTTATCGTGGCATTGTATTATTCTGCCTGTACTTATTTATCTGTGCTAGTGCTTGTATTACTCTGCTTATGCTTATCTCTGTTTGCATGTAACTCTGCGTATTACTCTGCATATCTCAGTAATAAATATTTGCTTTGTGAACCACGGCATTTTCTATGTTTAACAGCAGAGCGTGGTTCTTCAAAAGTTAGAATTCGCTGATAGTTTCCCTAATTGAACCTTCCAGTGTAATAATTTATCGTTCGCGTGATTTTGTTTTGGTGTTTCGTGAATGATGGCTTTTTCCGGAAGTGAAAGGGAAGCTTTTGGGTGTAGCGCCATTTGACGGTGTTAATAACTTTACTGTTTGGTGTCGGAAGAGTTCAAGCAGTATTTACGGCAAAGGGAATTGGATACGTTTTTGGAAACAGAAGCAATTGTGGACAGAGTTGCAGATGTTTTGAAATCAAAAAAGGCTTATGCCTTAATACTTGCGCTTCTAAGTGACAATGTTTTGCTTCTCTTCAACGTGAAGACACTGCATGTAAAATATGGAAGAAACTACACAGGTACGTATAGCGCTAAAGGTGCAGTGAGTCAAATTTTTTAACGCGTAAACGTCTAGCTACCATAAAGAAATCCAAGGATGTGTCAATGAGACAGCATATCGACAGCATAATGAACCTGGTGAGTAGTTTACGCGTCTCTGGCTCTGAAGTAAGCGATTTTGATATTATTATTTACATTTTAATATCTTTGCCAAAAGAATATGAAAATATTAAGGCATCTCTCGAAAATCAGCCAAGCAATAATTTGAGTTTAGATTTTGTTACAAGTAGACTTATTGATTGTGAATCTCTTATGTTTGATTATAAAAATGAAAATAAGTATTCTAAACCAAATACAGATAACTCTGTTTTATTAGTGCTCGTAAAGAATTGTTTTGTACTTATTGTAAAAGAAAAGGACATTCTTTTAAATTTTGTAGGAAAAAGAACTGCGTCTGTCATAACTGTGGGAAAAGTGGTCATTTCAAAAGTGAATGTTTTGATAATTCTAAAAAGCAGGCAAATTCAAATAGTAATAAGTATGCTTCCCCTGGAATATCTTTTATGGCTGGAAATCTTGTGCATGATCAATTTATTATTGATTCTGGTGCAACTTCTCATATGTGTTCTCACAAGGAATGGTTGACCTCAATTAAGCCTAAGACTGGAACTGTTAAGTGCGCGTCTAAGTCGGCGGTTTTAGAAGTGGAAGGAATTGGTGATATTTGCGGTAAAACTAAGAATGGTGTTGAAATAATGTTAAAAGATGTTCTTTACGTTCCAAAATTAAACGGACAATTAATTTCTGTTAAAAATATTGAAGCAGCAGGTTTGAGCGTAATTTTTAAAAATGAAATAGTTTATATTGAAAACAAAAACAAGCGTTTTACATTTGGATACTTGGATAAATGCGGACAATATTTTAGTGATTTTTCACCAAATTTATTTACAGCTTTAGCAGTAAAGAATGATGATTTATGGCACAGAAGGTTAGGACACTGCTGTGATCAAAAATTAAAACTGATGAATCTTCCTGCAAAAGAATCCTTTTTTGAAGTATGTGTTCATGCCAAACAAAGTGCTTTGCCTATAGGAAAGGGTCCTCGCATAAAAGAATCCAAACCGCTTTTATAACTATACTATACACTGATATATGTTGGTCCAATAGAACCTCAAACACTCCATGGGAAAGGTATTTCATGACTATAATTGATGACTATTCGAGATTTATGGAAATCAGACTGCTCAAAAGAAAAAGTGACATTGCTGATGAACTCAAGCTATTCTTTAAATTGAATCCAACTGTTGCAAAATCTGCGCTGTGACAATGCCAAAGAATATGTCAGTGGAGAATTGCATGAAGTTGCTAAAAGAGCAGGTGTAAAAATAGATCCTGCACCTCCCTATACACCTTTTTCTAAATGGTGTTGCTGAACGAGCAAATATAGAACTGTACTGGAAAAAGCTAGAGCAATGATACTTGAGGCAAAATTTACCAAAATTTCCTTTGGGGTGAAGCAGTACTTACGGCTGCTTATATAAATAATCGACTCCCAAATAGTTCAATTGACAATCGTGTTCCTTATTTTTCTGAAGTATGGTGAAAATCCTGATTTAACAAACATGCGTGCGTATTTGGCTGTGATGCTTATACTCTTGTGCCACCATCCGCAAAGAAAGAAACTAGATAAAAATTCTGTCAGAATGATATTTGTAGGTTATTCCACAATGGGATATCGTTTAATGATTCCAGAAACAAGACGCATCATTGTTTCCAGAAATGTTAAATTTAATGAAGAAAAGAAGAAAGTAGAAAATCAAAAATATATTTCCGATAGTTCTGATTTGAGTGAAAATGACAATGATGACATTAAAAATGAAGACAAATCAATTTCAGACACTGATAACGGCGAATTAAATGCTGCAAATAAGAAGGAGGAACAAAGAAAATCCTCAAGAGAAAAGAAACAGCCAGTTAGGTATCCTGATCCTGAGATTTACCAAGTAATGTTTGCACAATACAGTCTGACATTTGAAGATATTGCAAATCTACCACAAGTAGAACAAGAACCATGGAAAAGAGCTATGGACGAGGAAATGAAATCTATGGAAGATAACGACGTCTGGGACCTACAAAGTTTACCCCCTGATAAAAGAGCCATTTCCTGCAAATGGGTTCTATGTAAAAAACGAGATGGAACTTACAAAGCGAGGCTTGTTGCTCGTGGCTTTATGCAAAAGGAAGGCATAGATTATACAGAAACGTTTTCTCCAGTGATTAGTATGTGCTCTTTACGTTTAATCCTGGTAATTATCAATAATGAAGGTCTTCAAACTTTTACTTTAGATGTCAAGACAGCTTTCTTGAACGGTAAGTTAGATGAAATCATCTACATGGACCAGCCAAAAGGATATGATGATATGAGTGGTAAGAAATGCAAACTTAAAAAGAGTTTATATGGTCTTAAACAGTCTCCTCGACAATGGTATCAGAAATTTCTTAATTTTGTTATTAAATTAGATTTTAAGCAATTGGACTCTGAACCATGTATTTTTATCAGAAATTTAAATTGTAAGAAAGTAATTATGGCTCTTTATGTAGATGACTTATTAATTGCAGGTTCAGATGTAAAAGAAACAAATATTATAATATCATTGTTATCAAATGAATTTAAAATGTCAAAATCTGAAAGTGTCTCAGAATTTTTGAGTATTAGACTGAAATTTGAGTCTGGTTGTTTATATTTAGATCAGAAACCATATATTGAAAAATTACTTGATAAATTTAAAATGTCTGATTGTAAAACAGCCCAAACTCCCATTGAACCAAAATCTACAGTAGCTGATTTTCAGAAAGGAAAGGCATTTCATGGTCCATACAAAGAATTAATTGGATCTTTACTTTACTTAGCATATATCACAAGGCCAGATATTGTGTTTGCAGTAAATTGCTTAAGCCAACTGCAGGAGCATCCTACTGATGTTGCCTGGTGTGCTCTAAAAAGAATTCTTAGGTACTTGAAAAACACCTTAAATTTAAAATTGATATACAAAAAGGGTGATTTGAAAGGGCAAACTTGTGTTTGTATGTAGATGCAGATTGGGGGGGGGGAGATACTCAAGATAGGAAATCAATTACTGGTTACTTTATAATGTTTTCAAACTGTCCTATTATGTGGTGCTGTAACAAGCAAAAGTGTATTGCACTTTCATCAACAGAAGCTGAAATAATTGCTTTATGTAAAGGTATTCAAGATGTTTTATGGATAAAAAATATAGTAAATGAAATTTCCAGTGTTAAAAATGTTTATATTTTTGAGGATAACCAGTCATGTATCAAAAGTATTGGTTAATGAAAACTTTTCAGGTAGGTTGAAACATATAGATATAAAATTAAAGTTCACTCGTAAGATTGTTAAGGAAAATAATATTAGAATTGAATATGTGCAATCAGGTTTACAAATTGCAGATATGTTAACTAAGGCTTTGTCCAAAACAAAATTCTATGAACTGTTATCATTGAGCTGTTTAAAAATTGTGTAATTATTTTATGTTTTGTATAATGTGCGATTAAGGGGAAGTGTTGAGATATTTGTAATCGCATTCTTACTGTTTTAAAAGGAAGTATAGCTTTCTGTCACGTCCGAAACATTCATTAGCTTTCAGCCAGGTCCGAGTTATTCTGAAACTTAAATCTCACTCTGTATGTTACTTTTGATTGATTATTTATTGTGTCTTGTTTATGATTTGTTAAACCATGATCTGTTGTAAAGTTATATGTATGACCTCTGTAACCGCTTATCGTGGCATTGTATTATTCTGCTTTGTATTATTCTGCCTGTACTTATTTATCTGTGCTAGTGCTTGTATTACTCTGCTTATGCTTATCTCTGTTTGCATGTAACTCTGCGTATTACTCTGCATATCTCAGTAATAAATATTTGCTTTGTGAACCGCGGCATTTTCTATGTTTAACAGCAGAGCGTGGTTCTTTCAAAAGTTAGAATTCGCCGATAGTTCCCTAATTGAACCTTCAGTGTAATAATTTATCGTTCGCGTGATTTTGATTTGGTGTTTCGTGAATGATGGCTTTTTTCGGAGGTGAAAGGGAAGCTTTTGGTATAGCGCCATTTGACGGTGTTAATAACTTTACTGTTTGGTGTCGAAGAGTTCGAGCAGTATTTACGGCAAGGGAATTGGATACGTTTTTGGAAACAGAAGCAGTTGCGGACAGAGTTGCAGATGTTTTGAAATCAAAAAAGGCTTATGCCTTAATACTTGCCCTTCTAAGTGACAATGTTATTGCTTCTCTTCAACGTGAAGACACTGCATGTAAAATATGGAAGAAACTACAAGGTACGTATAGCGCTAAAGGTGCAGTGAGTCAAATTTTAACGCGTAAACATCTAGCTACCATAAGGAAATCCAAGGATGTGTCAATGAGACAGCATATCGACAGCATAATGATCTGTTGTAAAGTTATATATATGACCTCTGTAACCGCTTATCGTGGCGTTGTATTATTCTGCCTGTACTTATTTATCTGTGCTAGTGCTTGTATTACTCTGCTTATGCTTATCTCTGTTTGCATGTAACTCTGCGTATTACTCTGCATATCTCAGTAATAAATATTTGCTTTGCGAACCACGGCATTTTCTATGTTTAACAATTTCCAAAGAATTTATGAATTTTCAGAATGTTGAATCTCCCTCAATAAAATTTAATTCATCTCCAGTCTTGCAGTATCCTTTTGAAAGCCCAGAATGAGCATATACAGAAGGCAGTTGACATTTTATGCATAGAACATTTGAATGCTTTTTAGATTTGGATACAGTGTGTGTTTTTTAATAAATCTCTAGTAAATTGTGTGCTTTTGTATATTTAATTTTATGAAGTGTGTGTGTTAGTGGAATTGTTCAAATGTTTAGTGATATTTAAATTCTTTAATGTGTTTCATGAACTAATTTCAGAATGACAGTTGTGATTCCCAGTCTAGCTCTAGTTTATCACTGCGCACATTAAAAGCACCTTCTGAGACCACAACTAATAGTCAGTCCCCACCGCACATCAAAGTGCAGCGTAGTGTTTCGGCTAGTAGTAAACCCCGTCGTTTCAGTCATAGTAAGTTATTTATTATGAATGTAAATCTAGAAAAATTTATTGAATTTTGTAGCATTGTTGATATTTAATTTAGTAATAAACCTGTTAGTCGAATTGTATATTTTATTAATGCATATATTTATAATGTATTTAAAATGCACTGCTCAAAACTGTTAATATGTGTGGTAGTTTCTTACATAAGCTGCAAATGGTAGAAAGTTTCCAAGTTTGAAATATGACCCATATACTATATTGTAGCAAAGTGTATGGGTGGTGCAAGAACCTTTTAATGTATTTATGTAAAATATAAACTAAATATTTATAACTTTACAGGTGACAGAATTGAAAGTACATATTTAATGTGTGTGATAAAACAAAATTCTGGACAAAAAAAAGTAATTTTTAATGATGGATATGGTTTCTATTGACAGAAAGCAATGATAACGTGCACTTGCAAGGTATGAAGTCATTGAGAAGAGCAATTTCTAATTATTGGACATTTTGTATTGATGATAACCAATCAATAGTCTTTTCCAGAATTTCTGAGATTTGTTTGATGGTTAACATATCTGTAAATTTGGATGATTTGTTCTTCAAAGAGGAAATTAGCCACAAGTTGAGCATGATGTGACTTGCAATGAGAATGAGTCAGTTTCCAATCATTGCAGCTTTAGAAAAAAGAAATGGTGTTAAGATATGAGCAGGCTTGAGCAATTAATTTCTAAGGTACATATCAGTGCAAAATTAACAGTAATATTGTCTTACACCATCACCTTTCCTTTCGCAACTAGAATATTCCTTTGCTTAGTTAGTATTTTATACTGTCTGTGACTCTGCCTACAGGACAATCCATTGACAGCTGATTCAACATGTGCCATTTTGTTGTCAAGTAGAAATAAAATAAAAATTGCTTTATAATGTTTGATTTCTTTTTTACAAATGTGGGATATAAAGGGATTACAGAGTTAGAAAATTTGTCAATATCAAATACAGTAAAATTATCACGTTCCATAATTATGTCTAAACCTCTGAGATATTCTGTTACATTATTTCTAAAATTATGCAGATACAGTGCTTGCACAATTTGTCAAAATTTCTATAAATTTTAAACTGTGAATTCAGAGAAATCACTCCTGCAGGCAGGAAGTTCTTATTTTTTTTATAAAATTTTAATGGAAAATGGAATTACTGTAAATCTTGTTAAGATATTTCTCTCTTAAAATTAATAAATATATAGATAGATAAACTAAGTTAACTTTTATGTCTACATGATGAATATATAAATAAAAAATTGTAATAAAAATTACATGATGAATATATAAATATAAAATTGTATACAAAAGCATTTTATATATTATTCCAAAGGTTTTAATATGAGGAATTTGCTAAATTGTAAATGTTAACAAACCTTCTGATGTTTTACCATATCTGTCATTGTAAAGGGAATTTTTGCATGCAATTTGTTTTAAAATGTGTAGAGGGGAAAAGTTTCTGTTTTAAAATCAAAAGTAAAATTCAGTTTTTAAATTGTATAAAACACTATATCACTTAAATATTATCTTAAAAATGGTTGATTAATTTTGAAATCTCAAAATAATTTCTTCTTCAATATGAATGTTACTTTATGTTTAATTTTCATATGTTTTATTTCGTTATTATATATTATTTTTATATTATATTTTATCTTGATTATGAGTGTTTTTTTTTGTTATTAATTTGAATTTAGCTAACTATCACATATCATTAATGAATTTAATACTTTATTATATATTGTAATAATTCTGGAAGTTGTGTTTAATTATAACAGCTTTTTTTTGTTAAATTTTTAAGACAGCTTTGGATATAACACCTAAACAAAACAGATGTAGGTATGTAAAAAAAAAAAAAAAAAAAAAAAATATCTTGATCTCAAACTGCCCAAAGATAAAATGGCCTGGTGGTGAATAGTCCCACTCCTTCATATTCCTTCCAGATTATGACTCGCTTATTGTGAAACACAATTCTTCCCAGAAGGAACAGTGCTCCTTCACTTCTTCTGTAGCCAAAGTTTTGAAAAAAAATTTGTACCATAGATCTGCTAACATATATATGTATAACATATATATAGAGAGAGAGACAGAGAGAGAGAGAGACGAAACATATAACAAGAAACATCAGATTTGAGCATTTTAAAGTTAAAAATTTAAACAATTGCCATACAAAATTTGCACTGTAGTAGTTTGGCATTCATGTCTTGGTTTCTCCTCAATACTGGTGATAAAAATTCATCCTCATTTCTTTATATTGCAGAATTTAAATCATATATTATTTTTCCCTGAATATTTATTTGTTCCATAATCTCAAACTCAAGCTCTACTTGTTGCTAGAGCATTTCAGTCATTTCTCCATGCTTTCATCAGCATTACAGGTTCATTTTAACAATTCATCTGATACAATTTGTTTGTGCATTTTGGATTTTATTCGCCATTCATCTGGCACATAATAACCTTCAAGGTTTTGTGCCATTAAAAGTCATCCAACCAAGCTTTGAGTCATTCTGTTGCCACCAATTTCTCCATATTTGCTTATGTTTAACATATTTCTGAATGATTATTAGCTGTTCAAATAAAAGATTGGCCACATTATTTAGTTCAGCCATTACATTCATAAATTAAAGATGTCAAAATAAGAATGATTTTTATTTGCCAAATTTTAATGTTTAAAAAGTATAATATCTACATTTATTGTAATTTTTTTAATACGAACAAAACTTTGGGAGAGGAGAATGCTATTAGTTTCCAAATCTTTCAAAATTGCAGATTTCCTTGCATATTGTCATCATTTAAGAGGTCATTCTGATCTCAACCAAAGATTTGATGACATTCTTGGTTACTCCACTTGGGTATTGGACTCTTTTACAAGTAAAACCACAAACTTGGATGAATATATGAAAATAGAGGAGCAATTTATTGTATTATGAGGAGCTTAACATTTATATCACAATTTGGGGTTACAAGAATAAATAAGATTGTTGTATCCTGTGTTATAGACCATTGTAATGAAGATGTTCATTGCTTTCCCACAACTTCCCATCTAATAGAACAGATTTATGACTGTAACTCGGAAACATAGAGCCAAATTTTTAAATAATCTCATCATCTCATCAGGTTCGTGGATCACAAAATTTATTTTTTTTTTATTTTAAAACAAATTTACAATTTCCATAAATAATACTTTAAATATAAAAATGTTATATTTTATTTTACGTCACCATTTGCCACTCAAGCTGTCTAAAGTTAAATTTGGAATTTTCTATCATTCGGTATGTAGAGTTATTTCATTTGGGGCTTCATGCTTGAGTTTTTGCTATTAAAGAAGAGGTCTTTGGGCACGGTAAGTTTAGGAACTACTTGTTGAGACTGAATGTGCTAAGAAAAAATTGTAACATTTCTTAAGCTTTCAATGTTTTATCTGATCTTTAAAAATTTTTTTCTATATTAAAGATGAAAAAAGATACAAATGACTTTTTTAAATGTTATTGTAATATAGGAAATGGATTGCTGCATTGAACTTGTGAGGATTGGAAGCACAAAATTTCTCATATAAACAAACTATAGCCTGGAATGCATCAGTTTTTGAAAGTAATTTAAAGAAGCAAAACTTAATTGATTTTTAATTTAAAACGAAAATTATATGGGAATTATGAAGATGCATCTTTTTATATGGTTATTCAAGACTAAAAATTTAGTTTATTCTGGGTTTAATTTTAATTTAATAATAAAAATCTTTAAATCACTCTTTATATTCACTTCATATGTTGCTTTTTAATAGTCTTAAGAGAGATACAGTAATAAGAATCTCATTTTATTTAAGAACATGAACCGTATTCTCGGTAAATGATATGAGGAGGAAGTAATGCTGCCCACAAAAAGCAATTTGCAATAAAGAATTTATCTGAATATGATGATGATTTTCATTTAAATTATTAACTTAATTCATATTTTCATTTTTAGCCAATCAGACTCCTGTGACTAATGGTCCTCCTCCGTCCTTTAAGAGGCAAAATACTCTTGAAGCAGGCACTGTTAGAGAAAACCCTCCAGTTACCACCTCACTTGGATCCCCTACTATTTCAACTGGTCCAAGGCCTGCAAAGACTAATCAATTAACTCAAGAAAATTCAAGTAACTATAATTTTCATTTTCTCATATTAATATTTTGATGCTTATTCCATAGTTATTGCAGTTAAATTTTTGAATTCATAAAGCAGAAAATTAAATTTAAAACACAGGAAAGTTAACACTAAGGATAATTTAAGAGAATCTGAAGTTAAATACTCAAATGAAAGTTTTCAGTATTAAATTACTTTAATTTTCAAAGTAGTATTTCTTGTAGCTATCAGCTTCATTAATTTTTTAGTTATTGTTTAGAGGTAAATTTAGTTTTTACTTCTGTTTCAAGGAAGCTGCTAGGAATTTATGGATTTGTTTTAAACTAGCTTCATTTGTTTTCAGTAAAAGTTCATACCAAAAAGATGTATAGAGAGAGTTTGTTTAAGAGTTTTTGATTTTCAATAAGAATAATTTGTAGACTTAGAAATTTTGTTGACGTTTTGAAAAATAATAGTTAATAATATATACTAATAATATTGACTAGTGATTAACTGGAAATTATTCATAAATTAATCTCTCCCCTTTTTGTACTAAATTTTCCATTCTAAAATTTGGTAGAGTTTTGTAAGTATTTTGATAAAAAAATTCAGATTAATAGAAAGGAATTTAATTATCATACTATTAAAAATACTTAATATATATATATATCTATATGAACTATGTAGTGTATACGTATTTGCATATGTAGTATCACATTTTTTTTTTATTAAAAACAAAATTATTCAAAATATTTATGGACAGTATGCTGCTAAAAATTGGTCAGTATAGTCAAAAAGTATGAAATTTAGAACTAATTTTACACAAAGCTCCCTAAAAAAGCAAAATTAATATAAAAAAATTAAATTCCTATTTGTTTATTTTTTGGTATTGGTTGTAATATTTTTTTCATGTATTTATATTCAGTATATTTCAGGTATATATTTATATTTTTTCAGGTATTTATAGTTTTACTTTCACATTTGTTTAATTCTTTTGAGTTTCATTTGGGGGGGGGTCTTTATGTAAAATGAGTTCTGAATTTCTTACTTTTTGTCTATATATGTGTGTAAAATGTAAAGTGAGAAAATAAATCTCTAATTACTAACTGAATTAGAAATAGTGCTTTAAATTTCTTTCTCTTTTTAGCATCTACAATGCACCAAAATTTCTCTCTACTGCTTCATTTCTAGATTAATTCGTACATATAACTTGGTAATGCTGATTACATAACATATGCAAAACCTAAGCTGAAATTTTGATGTAATTAATACAGAAACTTGACTAAGAAAATTGAAACCTTTCTCTTAATAGCCTGCTATATTGGATAACTGCACATCTTTTGCTTTTAGCCCTCTTGCCGTTAAGATTCAGGTGTGCTTCTTTTCTTCCATGTTGCAATATTCTCAAAAATATAAATGTTCTTGAATAGGCATGATTACAGTGCCAAGTAAATTGTGGCTGAAAATGTCGATTGAAATAAAGATGAATGTTTAATCCGCCTTGACTGCCAAGTTTGCAGTTCATTACGGATTCAAAATTCTACGTTCTGCACCATCAATATTGCTGAATCTTTTTCATCACACACACACATATATTTTCCTCTTAAAATGGTAATATCTAGATGAAAGATTTAATTTTAGTCCTACATTTAGCATACTGGCCACAGTTTAAAAAAAAAAAAAAAAAAAGGCGATAGTGTATCTCGAATTTTTCTTTTTGTAGTAAAATATTGTTTTAACTTTTTGCTGCCATCTGCTAGAATACTCGCAGTTGACACTGAGTTAACTTGTCAACTATGAGAACACTAATAATCGATCACTGTATCTAAATTGCAGAGCATGAGTATTGTAGAAAATGCATGCAATAGTTAGGTATTTGGCATAACAGGAAATGTTTAAATAATGGCAGATTGGCATACTGAAATGGACTGTTTACTTCTGAAAATGTAGACTCAATAGCTAAATTTTTAGGATGTAAATAAATACTCTGATGTCCCAAAACATTGTGACCATCCCCAGGTTTTTGATTGAACTTGTTTAGGTGATGTGGAGGCCACATGATTAAATGGGGATTGCATTTAACTGCTGCTGGAAAGGTAAGATTCATTTGCTCTTACTTTTGCGAGTGATGAGAAAGGCTGCTGATTTAAGAAAATTTGATAGAGTGAAGATTGTAATGAGTCGGAAAACTCTGAACGACTATCTCCGAAACTGCACATCTGGTAGGTTGTTCATGATCTGCTGTTGGTAGTATGTATGCAGAGTGGGTAAATGATGGACAGCGCTCCATGTCACAAGGCTCGAATTGTGTTGGAATGGTTCAAGGAGCATAAAGATAAATTCCAATTAATGTTCTGGCAACTAAACTCGCCAGATCTTAACCTTGTAGAGCACAGTTGGGATGTCATGAAGTGGCAGCTCAGAGGTGAAACACCACCAATGCCAGAATATCTTGACTTTGCATGATCGCTGCTTACACATCGGTACAACATGCCTCCCGTCATCTACTAATTGCGGTCTACCTTCCAAGCTGTTTTGCAGACCAGAGGTCGCATAACATATATTTGAATAGGTGGTCATAATGTTCTGGTTCTTCAATGTATATATTCATGACATGTATTGAAGATCACAACACATGAAAGTTGCTTTTATTATATTATGTTGAACACTGAGTATACCCATGTAAATTTATTTACTGCTAAAAGTGATCTAGTGTTTGTATTAAAATGATAAGAGGGTAGAAAATCATTTAAAAACAAAAGTGCAGAGAGGATCTTGGTGTGCATATAAATTAAGAAATTTATATTTCATTTTAAGCAAAATAACAGCTGCTGTTATCAAATGTTCACCTATATTTTTTTTCCTAAAATGTATCTTCATATATAAGAAAGGTCTTATTCTCAAATAGAAGTAGTAATAATAAGAAATTGAGTAAATTCAAAGAGGTATTTTTGATAGAGTCTAGCATCAAAATCCTTGCAATTGCAGGCTCGTCGAAAATAATTATCGGTAATAAACTTGTGATTCATGGTTCACGATAAATTTCTTTATTTATTATGAGTATACTCACGTTGTGTTATGTGGCTATGCTGGTTACTTTGATGATGTTTTTACTTCCTTGTATAAAGTAAAGGAAATATAGTAATTGCGAAAATTTCATGTGTCATATTTCAACGAAAATGTCCATTTCGATTGGTCTCGAAACATCTGAACGATGTTTTTGTATGACATTGGTACGTACTGACAGAATAAAGGACTGTTTTTGCCGAAATGGATCCAGAAGAGATTTTTTCTTGACGTCTACGTACATACGTATCTTGCATAACTCAAGAGTGAGCAGCCATAGAACATTGAAATTTTCTATATGGGACTACTATAAGATGTAATTGTGTACCTTCCTTTGTCATTACAATCAGCTGCACCAATCATATACATACGTATATATATATATTCCCACTTTGTTACTTAGCTCCGCGAGTTCAGCTTTTTGTTATTATATTTTGGTAAGTTATGCATTTTTTGCTTCAAAAGGTCATTAAATTATATGGTTTTTATGTTCCTGTTAAGGTTTAGTTAATCTGCATGCAATAGTTGTAGAATTACAAACAATTTAAAAGTTTAAGTGGCAATTCATTCAGCTTTCACTTCACTTCACTTTTCTCACTAAGGAGCGGCCATTTATATTTACATTTGAAACTTGGTAAAATACTCATTTCAGTTTCTGCACCTTCAATGTCTTTTTGCTAAGCGGGACCGAAAGTAAGTTTTCATTTTGCCCACTAGCTGAATTATTTGTTTTTGCATAGAATAATTTTAATTGTTAAAAAAAATTAATGTTTTAACTGTGTTTGGTGTTTTATGTTTTTTGTATTTTACAATTTTTAATGAAAATGTTTTGAGTTGCTTTGCCATGAAGTGAGAGCTGAATGAATTTAATGAGAAGTATATCTCTAATGGAATAAGTTTAAACGTAATGCAGGGAAAAAATGTGTATAATTTAGTATAATTTAATATGCCATACAAGGAAGTCATATGGTGATCAAATTAGATTTTTTTGTGATGATAATATATGAATTGTTTAAAAATCTTAACGAAACATACTGCGTTTGCTCACATTTTAATGTACGTTTAGTGTCATGTTTCAAGGTTTGCCATGGTGTGTGTAATTTGAACTGAAATTTTCGTGTATTTCTCGTATTTTATTTCTTTCTGATAATTTCCTTCACATTTTCTCGTAATAGTAGAGCATTCAATATATGATTATTAAAATTTGGAATTATTTCAAAATTATTTTTTATGTTTATTCTTAACCAGAAGGAAAAAAAGAAAAAAAGGTGGAATAATTCTTTACCATTTGTTTTGCATCATAAAAATGTATATATGTGTAGAATCTTTTGTATTGTATTGTATAAAAAGTCTGATGTGTACACCACATGACTTCCTTGTATAGAATATTAAATTATACTCATTTTTTTCCTGCATTTCATTTAAACTCGAATTTCATTAGACATATATTTCTCATTCAATTAATTCAGTTCTCACTTCGTATGAAGGCAAAAATGCATAAAAACTCAAAATATATATATTAAAAATTGAAAGATATAGAAAAACATAAGACTAAATACAGTTAATTAAAAATAAAACAGTTTTTACAATTAAAATTACAGTTTCTACGCAGAAACAAGTAATTCGGCCAGCGGGCAAGAAGGCAGATCTTTCGGTGCACAAAACTGAAAGTTTACTTTTGGTCTCATTCAGCAAAAAGACACTGAAGGTGTAGAAAGTGACTTACTTTTGCTGTGGACACTATGCTGAGTTAAGGAGATAATTTAATAACTTAAATGATAATTCCAGCATGGATTAAGCATGATTTAATTTTTAATAATAAAAGGAGAAGTTACTTTGTTGTTGCAAATCTTAGTTTTAGATTGGCAACAAATCCACTATTCTGTTACGTTTCAAATGTAAACAAATATGGCTGCTGTGGTTAAAAAAATTGGTTTTAGCCGTACTTAAACAACTTCTAAAATTGTTGATAATTCTAGAACTATAACATGCAGGTTAACTAAAGACATTAACTGGAAGATAAAAACAACATAATTCAATCATTTTTAAAGTAAAAAATACACAATTTACCAACATATAAGAATTAATAATAATAATAATAATAATAATAATAATTAAAAAAAAGGCTCGTGGAGCTGAGTAACAGAGTGGGTATATATGTTTATATACTTGTGGTGTGGCCAATTACTACTGAAAAGGGAGGTGCACAACTATGCTATAGCAGTCTTATGTACGAAATTTCAACATTCTGAGGCTATTCATTTTTGAGTTAAGCAAGGTATGTACATGCAGATGCTACAAAAAAATCTCATCTGAATCCATTTTAAGTTAGTTTTGTAATTCGTTTTGGAAAAAGAGTCCTTTATTCTGTCCTTATGTACAGATGTGATGCAAAAACATCATTAAATTTCATTCAATAGGGATCAAAATGGATATTTTGGTTGAAATATAGTACCTGTAAGTTTTCATGATTACAATACTTCCTTTACTTTGTACAAGGAAGTAAAAAATAGATAATTTTTCCTTGCACACTTGAAAAGTAAGGTTAAGGATTAAAACAATGATTCCAAAGCAAGTAGTAATGGTTACATTCAAGTGCTCTTTTGATTTCTTTGTTGGAGAGCTGCATTCGTTTTCTCTTGTGTCCTGGCTTGGCATGCAGTCCTCTGTTACTTTCTGACATTGTGGGGGAGGGGTATTCCGGTCTAGCAGTTGAGATGTCTACCACTGCTGGCTAGGATGTGTCCTTCAGTGGTATCACACGTACTCTGTTATAAAGTTCTTATGTAATAATGAAGCATGTTAATCCTCATGTGAAACGTGCATATTTGTTCACTTGACCCTAGGGTCCCCTTCTTGTATTCTTGTATCTTCGAGGGTAAATCGAGGACTTCTTTAGCATATCTGCGAGCAGCTTAGCCCCCTACAGAAGCATAATGAAAATTAAAACATGAGTGTTTTGCATGTGCATCTCATGTGGTAAAGCTGTTCATTTCCCATGAATTCTATCTCCCAGCGCTAATATCCTGTGAGTTACGAACGTCTATCAAAAGCAGATCATATGTTTCAGTATTAAATTATGCATCTTGTTTATTTTTAAGAAGTATCACAGTGTTTCCTTTTTTCATCAAAAGGAAAGAGGGTGTTTTGATTATTTATTTGCATTTGTAGATTACGATGAATTGGTTACTATTCCACTATTGTAAAAAGAAGCTTTTGAGAAGTTTAAAATAGGTCCTTTGTTAATGTTGTTTTCTTTGTGCTAAAATTTTAATGTTTGTAATTTTTTTTTTTTTTTTTTAATTTTTAGGTTCAGTTCCATCTGGGGGTAGCAGCCCTTCCAAAGTAATAGCATCCACCACCCGCAAAGCTCATACTCCATCTGCTAGTGCTAAATCAAACTACAGTGGTATTCCTCGACGAAATACTTACAATTATAGTGAAAATAAGACTTTATCATCTGACAAATCTGATAGCCAGGAAACTTCAAATAGGTAAGTCTTGCCATGTGTCCTCATCGCACTTGTCTGAGCATGAGCTTTTGGAAGCTGATGTCATGATCTGCATGTTTCACGGGAGATTGCTAAATGCAATGATAAGAATAATTAAAGTAGAAAGCTGTGTGTATTTTTAATACATTTTTATATGTATAACTTGTAATACATATGTTCTAATAGGATGCAAAATGCGGTGATAAGAATAATTAAAGTATAAAGCTATGTCTTTTTTTAATAGATATAGCTTTCTGTCTCTTTATATTTTTAATTTAACTGTTATTTGAGACTGAGGCCAATTGAAACACAATTTTGCGCTGTTTACCCATATTAAAACGAGCCCAAATTTTAAAAATACTTGTTCTTTCAGGAAGTAGCTAAATCTTGTTTATATTACCAGTTGAAATAATTTCATTACCGCACTTGCAGTAGCTCACTAAAAATTGAAAGGTGTAATGTTAATTATATCTGTGCATAATTTTTGTATAGATTTCTGATGTAATTGTTTTTGTGACATTATGCAGTGTATGTATTGCTAACTAATTCAATGGATGTTTTTAGCATTAGAATGAGAAATACTTAAATACTTTACTGAACTTTTTCTTGGTGGTAGATTATTTGACTTTTTGCTTTGGAACAATATTTAGTAATCAATTATGCTTTCTGTCATAATCGAATTCATGTGTAAAATGATTATCAACTGTCTAGAAATACGATGTGGAGGGAAAAAAGCTGCTATTATCATATAAAGCTTTTAGCAATTTTTGTAGTGAAAAAGTACTTAACCCCTTAATGCTAGCTCATTTTGCAATGGAAGACAAAAGAATCCCAAGAAAAACCAGGCTGAAAAATTTTGCTGTCTGGTTCAAATGTAGTAAGTGTCCATGCCTGATGCTGCATTTGTGCTCTTTGCAGAGTAGGAAATCTGTTGTGTTAAATTCCGTACACTATGGTGTTGTTACCTAATTAACTTCCAAAGCATCACATTTATCCCTGGGGACTGCTACAAATGGAATGAAACAGAAATAATATGTACACATGTGACACTATTCTCCTAATAAAAGAGGAGCAATTTTGTTCTCTAATGGAACTTCCCGGAGCGGAAAATTCCTGTAGTTAATTTTTTTTTTTTAAGTACCTGATTGCTAGCAATCGTTTTGATTGGGAAGGAGGAAAATATGCTTTGCAGTGAAAACTAGAGGTATTCGCTTCTTATGCTGGGGATAATCATGTATTTAAGCATTTGAGGGCATTGACTGTACTGCAGCTAATCACCACATGATAGTTTTCTCATCTCAAAGTAACTTGGCAAATCAAGGATAGTCAAATTTCAGTATATAAACAGTGGAGAGACAGTTATTGTTGATTACTTTGCTAAAAATAATACGCATGCTTTTTTAATTGAATCATGTTTGAGAAATTTGGTTGTTTACATGTTGATGCTTAGAGATTGGGAAGCTAGAAGTAAAAAATGATTTATTAGTACTCAGTAATTCAATTTTCAACCCAATAAAAATTGCATAATTCAGTCTTTAAATGAATTTTTATTTTTTAAGTAATTTTGGTCAATTTCTATGCTTTTGCATAAGCTGCTTATTAATATGCTTGCAATAATTAGCTGGAAATGATTTATTTTTGTGTTTTGTATCCTTTGCAGATATTTTAAGCTGAATTCTTATTAATATCAAAAAAGCTTTTTTCATGCCTTTAATAATACATAACCTTGCTAACATCAGCTATTTTATGTTACCTTATCAGTTTGCATGAAAACTATTAACCCCATTAACTCTCTCACAGTAACATCCCATTACTTGGAGATAGAACTCCTGTTCCTAGACCTAAGGGACATACAAAGTCGGCCTCTGTTTCATGCACTGGCCGACCGGAGCTTTCATCATTTGATTCATCAGATCCACTTAGACCAAGGTAGTGTGCATTTCTAGTCTGCTACAGTATTTATATTAGAGCTCTGCATGGGCTTATTGTTATGGCAGTTCAGTATTTCTTTAACGGTCTGAGTTTTATCATGGTACAAACTGTGACCTTTAAATATTAAAAAATATATATTCATATGTAATTCTTTAACTTTTCTTATGATAAAACAGTGCAAAGCTTGAAATTGCGTGGACTTTGATTTTCATTCTATCTTCAAGCATGTATGAAACCAATTTATGCTAATATGCTCTTGAAATCTGCATGTGATATTTTACATGCTTTGCAAAATTTATATGCAGATACATTTCTTAAACCCATGCTGAACTCTAATTTTATTGAGTGTTAATAAATGCAAAGAAAATGGTGCTTGTGTAAAATGTGATGCCTGAAACATGCTTGATAATGTTTATGAACCTTGAAGTTTTGATTAAAGCATGCATGTTTACAAACGTTATTGATCCTGCTAAAGAAAATTCCTAAAAACCTTTTTTCTATTCTTAATAATAATTAATTTTTAAAGTTTAATTTTCATCATAAGGCAAACTAAAAAATATATATTTATCAGCTATCTTTTATTATTAGATTCTTTTGTTTATCAGGTTGGCTGCTCTGTAATCCATTAAAGGGTAACAAGTTGCTGTTAATTAATGTTTTGTTGTATATGTTACCGGCAAAGTGTGAAATCCAACATTCTATAGAATGCCTAGGCATTGTATATAATACCTAAAGCTAGCCGGCAATGTATGAAACGATTCATATTTCGCACATTTCCTGACAAACCGGCAAAGTATGAAACATATTTTCGATTCATTTCGAAGAACCAAAACTACTTATAAATTACTTATAAATAGAAATTAGTAAATGATGTAAAAAAGCCAAAATGACTAAGTAGAAACCACAGGACTACTGGCTGCTGAATCGCTAGGATGAGATGTTTGTGCAAAACAAAAGTGCATTCATTTACCCTGTTAAAGATAGTGTTACTACAGTATTACGTCATGGATGCTGAATTATTTTCCTTATTTCATTAAAACTCATTTGAGAACTGCACAGGAACGACGTGACAGAATGTCGAGAAGAACTTTCAACCAGTTACAAAAGCGTTACACGTAATGATATTGAACTGTAACAACCACCTTTGTGAGCCCTGCCTGAAAAAGCAAAAATGTATTAACAAGGGCTCTGATGTGAAACTTAAAATTGTTTCTGAATTAACTTTTGTTGTCGAGTAGATCTTACCGATTCCCAATATCAGCTAGATAGAAAATACAAATTTATTATGCGGTATGAAGATCACCTCACTATCTTTTTTAACATATTTCAAAGAACAGTTTTTTAATGGCAGTCTTTCATTAATTTTTCAAAATAATATTTGTATTTTAAAGGAATGAATGTTTTTTAAATAATAGCCTTATCATAGCCTTTGCTCCCCCTACTTAGTCTAAAGAGCATTTGTCATTCTATAGAATGGCTAGGTATTATATACAGTGCCCAGGAAACTGTATATATAGAGTGCTCAGGGAACTAACAGTATGTATAGTTCGAACGCCTCATCCGCGACCATGAGCGCAAACACACATGCGCCATTCGGACTGAATTATTCTCAGAAGAGGGTGGAAGGATGGGAACTTTCTTTCCCTCCAGCGTAGCTCTTTCCGGAGAAGAAAAGACTTGCACGTCTCAACAAGTAATACCGCCCCTTTTGGACGAGTCTTGTGTGTTTTGGCAGAATGCCAACCAGAGTTGTGCTTCAGACAGTCGAACTATAATAATTCTCTTATTTCTACCCAAAATAGTCTACCCAAAATCGACCTGCTATACAAGAAGAATATTAGAGAATATTATTGATCAGAATGAATATGCGTATGCCATTTGCTGCATGCATTAGTAAGACTTAAGGCAGCCGTCTTTTTGTGTACTCTAGGAACAGATAAGGGTTTTTGAAATAGCATGGTGTCAGCACAATTTTTTAAAAATGAGATCACTGGTAGTAAATCAAATTGGAAAGATTTCTTAGTTTCTCAGTAGCTGAAGTAAGAAGGATGTTTGTGATGAGTTTAGCATGTATAATTTTAATACATAAATTTGTGGCTAATGCTAACAGAAGTAGTGAATATGTAACGTGACAGATGAAAGCTTGAAATGCATGAAAGATTTTGAATAGATAGTTCTATCCTGAATCAGTATTTAATCAAGGCAAAAGTATTCTAATCTGATAGATTTCAAACACAGTGTTGCCTGTCGGCATTCTCGTGTCTCCTAATACCTCCCTATAATGCATAAAATAGGATTTTTGAATATTTAACTCTCTTAGAGAGGTCTTTTGACTTCATTTTCACCTTCAGCATGTTCATAGTGATGCAAAAAAATGTTGTAAGCAGGAGTGTAACCTCATCTTATCTTCAATAATATATTTCTGTATGAATTATTGAGGGCATAATGTATGTATGATAGCTGGCTGATGACAGTATGCGTCATGGTATATACCTTTAAATGCCACTTTTGTGAAATTATAGTTTTATCACCTTATTGCATTATACAAAAAATAATGCAAAAAAAATTAAGTACTTTTTTAAAATAAAAATTTACAGTATCAAATTTTTATATTCACATATACCTAATAACTTATTATAACATTAATCTTTAATATTTTTAATAAACAATTACATCATTTACTAATTTCTGATAAGTAGTTTTGGTTCTTCTATTCTTTTTTCATTGTGCCGACCATAGTTGTATTTTTTTTATTTTAGCATTTCTGCTAATTTAATGCTAGTAAAATAATTATCCGTGGTAATATTCCTCTCTTTGTTTAGATGTGGCTCCGTTACTTTTATGACAACATTTTCAGACAAACATAATTGAGGATTTGCGGTTTCATCTTTTCCTAGATAAGGAAATCCATTCAAGAGGTATTTAGTATCATCGTCCACAGATAACCAAAATTTTATTCCAAATTTGTTAGGTTTATTAGGCATATATTGTGTAAATCTACACCTAGCTTTAGGTGGGAATAATTGTTTATCAACTGTGATATTTTGTCCTGGTCGGTAGCACGTTCTGCAGTTTTCAGTAAATGTGTTCCACATGTCGGATGCAAGAGCGAATTTATGAGTCTGTAAGCGAGTAGATCTTGTTGTCTTTTCATCAAACCTTAAAAATCGTTTTATTTCTTTGAATCTATCTCTTGATATAGTTTCTTTGAAAAATGGTATTCCCCATGCTTCGGACCACAAGGAATATAAATCTAAGCCCTTTGCTCCTGTTACTCCTCAAACATACAATATAGCAACAAAAGCATCTAACTCGGCCAGAGATAACTTCCCGTCTTTATTTCCAAGTTGCCGATGAGCTTCAGATTCTGTACATTTCTCTATATGCAACAAGACATCATCATCAATAAAAAGCTTGAAAGCACTTGATACTTTGTCCTCAGAAACACGACTCTTTGAAAAAGATGTTGGTCTTGCTGTTTCTTTTAGAACATTATAAGCACGAGCTGCAGACTGAATTTTTGAAATTAATTTTATTCCATAAAGTGTTACCAAGAGCTGTAAAAACAGTTTTGCAAATACCCTGATCCGTTTTTGCCCGTTTATTTGCACTGACTTCTTAGTTTTCTTCGCTGTCCTCGGATTCACTAATGGTTTGTGTCTGGAATTCATCTTCAGTTTCTACAGAAAAATTATCAATTTCACCTTCGTCAGACTCATTTTCAGATAGCTCCTGTAACAATTTTAAAATTTCTTCATCCATAAGATCTCTTTCCCTCTTATTAGACATATTTTGTAAAAGTTTAAAAATATCAGACTGTCAGAAAACGATAGGGAATATATTTTAGCATATGATTCTTAGCGTAAAGGAAAGGTGATAATGAACATGACGGCAGAATTCATATGTACTGAAATATTGATTTGGGATTGCCAAGAAAACTTCTGTCCTAACAGCAATAAGTAAGCTGAACTAACAAACGGGGAAAATACATCTGTAAAATAAACTATTTCTGAAAAGAAATGTAAACATGAAAAATCATGCATCTACCTTCCTTGCAGTATTTTCTTCAAACGAATAGATAATTGCAAACAAAGGAAACATCAATTTATGTAGACATTACAATGTAATGAGACCACCCAGATTTTTATCCCTCTGGTGGAATGCAATCGAAAATTCCTTATCAGTGAATGTTTTTCATCGGTTATTTGACAATGCCTCGAACAGAAAGAGGGATAAAAGTAAAGGGGTCAAAATGTCCGCCATTCTAGGAATAAATGCCAATATTTCAAAAATTAAAAGAGCTGGAATGCTGAAATATTTTTAACAAATATTTGTTATCTATTTAGGAAAAGTCAAAAAATTCCAAATGATTTCTTCCAATAAAACAAGAGTAATCAACGGTCAAAAGCGTTCAGGGGTCAAAATGACCCCTACCGCCATTCTAGTGTTAATATTTAAAATGAAGCATTATTAACATAATAATATGAAAAACCAAAAGAATTACATTTTATCTTTTGTCTAAATATGCAAACACTTTGTGCTTAAAACCCACACTCGAATTTATTGAAGAATGATTTATACATTTATGTAATAAAAAGCCACCTAACTGGTATAGTGGTTAGCATTACAGACTGCTGTGCCCAAGAGCCCAGGTTCAAATCCCGCAAAAGACATGGATGTTTGTAAATCTATAGTATCCGTGCAGCATGGGGGAACTCTAAATATGCGAGACGAAACTCCTCGAAAGGTTGGTGGTAGGGGAAGAGTGGTGGGAGACGCTCGGAACCCTTTCCCAGGGTGTTTTCATTCAAAATTGGGGATGAAACTGAGCTAAATCGCACTGTCACCTGTAAGGTGCTCAAGGCTGTTGCAAATTACAGGCATACCTTGTGCTCCTTGCCACGAGGAATTTCGTGGGCTTAAGCTGACTATAGGTCAGACAAGTGAGCATTAGTCAACAACATGTTATAAAAACGTAACTCTGCAAGCAAAGCGAA